TGAAAATATTTTTATAAAAAAAAAAAAAGGCTATGCCAAAAATACTTAGTGGAGTAGTACATGTCATAAATGAGTATCAAGTAATTACCAAATGAAAAATATTTTATATGACAGTGATTTCTCCAACCAACATGATTACGTACAAATTAATACATATGTTTCAGCCATGATGTAATTGTCGAGCCCGAAGACTACATATGTTTCAATTCTGCTAATACAAAAATAGTGTAGTATATTGGCAAATATTTTGGGAATATATTGGTCTGGGGTAATTTTCTCTATTTCAAATGAAATCGCTACTTGTCTTTAACTGGTCCAATCCTATTGGGTTGGGCCTAATGGTCCGTAAATCGAAATTCAATAATATAGTATTGCTTGTCATATTGGGCTGGGCATAAAAGTCCCTAAAACCAAATCCAATAAAGAGTTCAGCGGATCCTATTCAGAAGTGTTGGTTCTTCTTCCCTCCCAACAGCGCAAAGAGGAATAATAATAATTGAGAAGCATGTTCCTCAATCTTTTTGCCCACGCCAAATCAAAATTCAAATCCTTCCTGAATTTGTACAAAACTCCCATCATCAAGGATGAGACCAAGTTTTTGGTGGCGCAGTTTCGAGCCTCACGGGAAGTGGACAATCGATCTTCACTTTACTCGATAATTTCGATCAAAGATGAACTTGCTCGAGTCGAAAAACATCTCGAATATCCTATGGCCCAGGAGACTCATACTCACCTTCCCTTATCTACTTGCAATGGTTTGTTGCTGCTTTCGGTACCAGAATCATATGAACAAGTTACCCTCGAAACAAAGCATACCTTCAAAATGACAAAGACTCCACGGGAGGCTTTGTGGAACCCGACCACAAGGGAATTCAAAATCCTTCCTCCACCACCCTCATCCTTCGAAAACAGGTATGGATACTTGTGAAACTCGTAAATTTTATTATGCACGAAGTAGCAGTCTTATGTTTAGATCAGAGCGGAGCCATCCCTAAGAGCATCTCCAGTGTAATGGTGTCAAGGTTAAAAGTTAAAACATGCCACATAATTAATTGGATTGTGATTTTTCATGACAGTAATTAATTGGGTTGAAATGATAGCGAAACCCAAATTAAATTGGGTTGAAATGATAGTGAAACCATTTTTTTTTTTACTACCATAACTCTTTCGTCCTCTTTGAATTGCATTTTTTATTTTCGTGCTGTATGTTTGCAAAAAGGTTACAAAAAGTGCAAACATACGGGACGGAAATAAAAAACACAATTCGAAGAGGAAGAAAAAGTTAAGGTAGTAAAACATATAACAAATTTTTATATGTTTACTCTAATTTACTGTAATTTTTATGATGAAACATGAGTCTACTCTTAAAATAGACTCAAGTGGATGGATACTTATCAGTCTTAACTTTTTCATATAACAAATTATCCTATCAACTTTTTCACGCTCCCACATTCAGAGCTAAATTGGGAGTTCGGTAATATTTTATAGTGTTATATAATATTATTCGAATATGAGCAGAGTGTTCTACGATTATAGTTAGACCCATATTTAGCACCTCTCTAAGATCCTTGTTGTAGCCTTTAAATATACCAAGTCTCCTATCCTCACAAGATAATTAGTTCCACATGTTAGAATCATATATTCTTCTATTGAGAAAATTTGGATAAAATCGAGAGGTCTTAGAAGAGAAAAACTGTGAGGCTTTGAGAGATCTGATAAGTTGTCAACCATGACATTTCGGAGCAGGTGATCGATCAAACAACAGAAGATCCCGAGTTTTNNNNTTCTAAAAAAAATATATATGGATCTCAGTGAATATATATGTCCCCGCGGCACCTCAGATGTCCACGAAACTTGAAGAGCACCACCACTGACGCATTTATCGGTGTCATCAGGTCCTCCAGCTGCAGCCCCACAGGCCATCGCCTGACCACCATGCGCCATCGCGCACCGCTTGCACAAAGCCTGCGCACGTCTGTGCAGGCAGACCACGCACAATATGCATGCACTTCAGCATACAACTATTTTGTAGTTTTTAGCCGAGTATGAAATAAATTTTGACCCCGACTCGTGTCTCTCGAGTAAGGTTGTTCAGACATGGATACAAGCAACGATTGACTCACACCCGAAAATAAATAAAAAGTCCTAAACACTCTACTCAAATTTGGGTTTGGATTAAGTTAAAGGTCGCAACTTTAAACTAATCCAATGCAGGATTCAAACTTTAACACAAGCAAGTCCTCAAATAGCAAGGAAAATGAAAATATAGAGAAGAAGAACAAGGTACCATAAGTCCTAATATGGAAAGAAGACACTCATAAGTACGGGAACATGTAATCAAGCAATCGTCACTTGCGAATCAACCAATCGAGCTCTCAATCAATTTTCGCTCACACAATCAACAAGTCACTCACGAATCAACTAATCGAGCTCTCAATTAATTCTCGCTCACGCAATCAACAACAAGTCACTCGCGAATCAACTAAATGAGCACTCACTTAATTTTCGATCAAGCAATCAACAACAAAATCTCATAATCCCTAACCTACATGGATTAAAGAATAATCTACTCATGAAAGTTCCTAACTTCAACCAATGGACTTCAACCGGGATTCTTCAACTCAGACGACCTCCGTACCTGCTAGAACTCAACGTCGGGAGGGGTCCGGCGTCGAGCCTCCGATGCCTAAGTCAGCACTCAGAAATAAAGAGTGCATTATGTGAGTATAACAGTGAATGTAGAGATAATGAGGTTTTTTGGATTCTTTAGACTCCTTTTATAAGGGAGGTGTACCTTGATGGCCAAGTTGGACTTGACCATTACTATTATGCAATGTGCCATAGCCTATGTATAGAGTTATTCTCCAATATATCTATTCATATCTATTAAAATCAGTCTAGTATGATATTCCTTATCGAAATTAAAAAAGTTGAGTGAGATTATAATAAACGTTCTGATTGTTACTTCAAAATGAGGTAAAGTTTTAAACAAAGAGAAGCTATAAGGAACAAAGGTCTTATTTGAACTCATATAATTGCAGCATTATTGAAACAGAGAAAGGATAACTTGTGGTTGTGGGTGTGAGTCTTATTTCTTCTGGGCCGTGTAATGTTAAATGAAGCAATATTTTGGCATCTTAGTGAAAGCTCACTCAATTGGGAAATTATGAACCTCTTAGACAGGTGANAAACGCCTAATATCCATTTCATCAATTCCACAATGAATATTAGGCGTTAGATCGTGAAGATTATGGTACCATATGGTGCCCATATGGGCGCCATAGAATTTCTGGCTATATTTTAAAAACAATAAAGGTATTGATAGGCAGTTTTAACAACATTTAGACAAATTATCATTTTAAAAAAACAATATAAATAAATATATATTATTTTATAATATAAATATATTAATATAAATATATTTTTTAATAAAGTATGATCATAAGTCCATCTAATGATAAAGTCACCTCACATATGCAACCACTTGGGGAAATATTATTCTATTGCATCAATTTACACCTTTCTGATACATTATTGTTCAACAAATTACATCAATCAATTTCACATAATGATATCATAAAAACATCAAAAGACCACGTAAATATATTTTTCTTGGATAATATTAGCGAGCAACGGTTAGGTTTTAGTGAAAAACTGTATCGAATAGCAACAAAACGATATTCGAACCTATAAAAAAACTAATTAAATCATATTTAGAAAAAAATCAAACCGAAACTGAAATGAATCTTTTTAAAGTGAAATAACCGAACTGAACCAAAATGCACACTTGGGTTCCATTTTTCTATAAATTTTATTCAATTTGGAGTGATTTGGTAAAAAATCACACCGAATTAAACATAATCGAAAATCAAACATATAAAAAATTATACATACCACACGGAATACAAACCATAATTTTTCAAATCGGATTGGCCCGGCGGGTCGACCCGGGACCCGATTGACCCGGAACCGTAAACGACCTAGGTGGGCTATTCGGACCAGGCAACAAAGGACCCGGTCAAACTCGGTCAAAACCCGGCCAACCCGGCCTTAACTCGGTCGTCCCGGTGCATTGACCTGATCGGGCAAGCTGGTTGACCCGACCCCTATATATATATGTATATATCTTTTTAAATATTTTTTGTTTTTAAAAAAATAAAACTATATATATTTAGAAAAATGCTACAAGTACATAATAAATGTACATAGATATATACATAACACTAACATGGAGTGATGTCCATTTGATTTTTTATTTTTATTTTTAGTAGGACCCACTTAATGTGAGTGTTATGTACACCTCTATGTACACTATTATGCATTGTTTTTTTTTACCTGGATCGGCCCGACGGGTCGATCCAAGACCCGGTCAACCCAGAACCGAAACCAGTCCGAGCGTACTATTTGGATTGGGTAACAATGGACCCGGTCAAACCCGGTCAAAACCCAGATAACCCGGCCTTGACCCGGTTCCTATAAAATTTTTATATAAAAAATAAAAACTATGTAAATAATGATATAGTAAATATTTATTGTGAGATACAATATTAATAACACTTAAATGTATAAATTTTGTATACAAAATATTTATTTTTGTTACTTTTATATATATTCAAAGTCAAAATATTATATATATATTTTTAAAAATTTTAAAATTGATTATCCGGTTCAACAATTGACCCGGTGACCTGGAGACCTGCCCGGGTCGATTTCCGGGCCAGGCTTAAAAACTATGCTATTATGTACCTACAATATTTCTCATATATTTATATGGTAAATATTTATCAGGAGATGTATATTATTAACACTTTAATGTACAAATTTTATATGCAAAAGATTTAATTTTGTTATGTATATTTATATGACAAAATACTCTATATATAATTTTTAAGAAAATCAAACAATTAATTATCCGATTCAACAATTGACCTAGTGACCCGCGGTTGAACCCGTGATCTGGTGACCCAGAGACGTGCTCGGGTCGATTCCAGGATCGGGTTTAAAAACTATGCATGAGATGCATAGTATTAATAGTTTAATGTACAAATTTTATATACAATATATTTAATTTTGTTACTTTTATATACATTTATATGATATAATACTTTATATATAATATTAAAAAAGATGAAAATTAATTATACAATTCAGCAATTGATTCGGTGACTCTACGGTTGAAGCAATGACCCAAAAACTTACTCGGGTCGATTATCGGGTCAGATTTAGAAACTGATAAAGACCAAAACTGAATCGAAATCAAATACTGCCTCCTATTCTTTTTAAATGTCATTTTGGCTTTATCAACTATTATCCAAATAAATGTCGTTTTGGATCTTTTGTGCATATTTTTCCATTATTACCCTCATTTAGCTAATAAATACACTACGTCTTTTCATATTCACTCTTCATTTTTTCCCAAAATATCATTCTTTATCTTCATTAAAGAGGGTTATTATTGACAAAAAAAATATCCTTAATTATTGTGCAACTTCTTAAAACGATATTTATTATAAATAGGGAAAAAAAAAAAAAAACGCACTAAATTGCACGATTGGATTCCCTTTCAGCCTTTCTAGGTTTCGCCGTCTCCATTTTGCTCAAGCCTATCAGACAATTGCGTGTTATTAGTTTTCCTATCAGTCCCAAGTCATTGAAAAGTGTGCTGGTATAGTACTAGTGTTAGAGAACATCATTACTCTGTCTATTGTCCCAACTTCCCTACTCTATTTCACACTTTCCAGCTTTTGCTTGATTGATGATTCTAAAGTTCCCTTTCATTGTGTAAGTTTTCAACGCACGCCATCATTGCCTTCACTGTCACATTTTCCATTATGCACATTACCCAAGCTAGAGGTGGCTTGGCGGTTTCGGACTGGCACCGGATCGCCGGTTCGGGCCATGAATTTGGACACGACCCCCACTTAAAGAAAGAGGCGAACAAAAATAAATATAAAATGTATAATGAAAAGGAAAAAACAAACATAATTGTACCTTTTACTAGTCACCGCCCCCATTTACTCTTTTGTCCTTAACCTTTTTTTAGATTCTATCTCTCTAAATTTTCTATCTCTCTAAATTCTCGAACTTTCAACGAACGATTCGAGCACCGAAAAAAATCCGAAAAAATATCGAAAAAATTCTATGGCCTCGGCAAATCGTTCTCTAACAAAGTAATTTTTTTTTTTTCGCCAGAAATAATTTTTAAATTTTTTTTTCGAAGTTGTCCGGCCGTCCGGCTGTCGTTTATGGACAGCCGTCGTCCGTCCGGTCGTCGGTTCCGGACGGCCGAAAAACCGTCCGGTCGGCCGAACCGGACGGCCGTAAAATGTCCGGTTCCGGACGGACCGTCGGCCGGTCACGAGCCGGCCTGACAGTTTTTATTTAATTTTTTTTTCTTATAATAATTATTATAATTATAATTATTATAATGACAATTATAAATTATAATAATAATCATATATTATAATAATAATAAGTTGAATAAATTGTAATCAATTATAAATTCTAATTAAAATAATAATAATAATAATAATAATAATAATAATAAAAATAATAAAAATAATAATAATTAATAAAATTTATATATGAAAATAAAAATGAATTATAATCTATTTTAATAGTTATTAGAATAGTCATTACATATGGAGAAATTTAATAATTATATTTTTGATTCAGGGTGTTAGCAGACCTGGACAATCTAATGTCAGGGACGACGACGAGGCGTTCGATGACTATTATGATGGTTCTGGCACCCGACACACTAGAAGTCGGGGTGTCAATGCGTCCGTTCGTCGGGACAGACAGACGTTGATCGATGAGGCTCGGAGGGTACAGACTCTTCAGGCTAGGCAGAGTTCGAGACCCTCCGCACCAGCACGAGATGGTCCGCAGGGTCAGCCAGGTAGTTCGCGACCCCACGGATTCCTCCCGTACGGCGAGCATGG